TACAACACAACAATTTTTGGAAGTTTACTATACTTCAGTAGTTACTACAACTATGTTATTATAAACATTCATACATATACTCATAATATAAGCATAACGATCATAATAAACACGAATTTGAACTGACCAAGCAGAACAAGAATGCAAATTTTTAAGATCTTGATAGAAATTCAAACGTGTGTAGTATTTGGGTGGGAGGAAAAGAATGGCGAATGTACCGGAATTTTCTACTGCTTTTGCAATTCTTTGACCAATAGAACAACGGGCACCCTGTCTGTACTCTTCGTGCATACCAAAGGTTATGCTTGAAGATCTTATTTTATTGGAGTGTCAAGATGTAGAAACATCTTTTTGCAAAGAAAGGGGTGAAAAGCTATTTTCGGGAGTATGATTCACCATCTGACATTCCATTTTAAGAAGAAAAGTTGTTTATTTAGTTTCGGCTTTAGTACGAGGAAAAATAGCACGTTCATTAAAAAAAAAAAAAAAAAAAAGGTCTAAAAGCAAAAAAATAAGCACTAAAAACAAAAAATAAGGGCTTTAAAGAAAAAGTAAGCACCTATAAGGGCCTTTATATTTTATTTTCAAATATAAGGACTTATAAGCACTTATAAGGACCACTAACATTAACAGTGTATTTTGTAACATTTGCACATAAAACCTATCATGCACTTAACCAGAGAAATTGCTTTAGTCCTTCTATATGCAACTACTTGGCTATGGCAGAATCAGAAAATGTTGATAAAAACCAAGAGCTTCCATGAACAGCACATGCAAATAGAAAAAAATAATGCAAAAATCATACACACATATTTACAGTTTCAATGAGCAACACACTAAAACCTGATATAGTTCACATAACATGTGTGTGTGTGTGTGTGTGTGTGATGTCAGTACAGTAGAAGTTCAGAAATCCGCAAAGTTCGGGACCAGAGGTTGTGCAGATTTTAGGATTTTGCGGATTTCAAGACAGAAAAGATAAATCATAATTTTCAGACTAAAAGTACAAAATAAATAAGGCGTATCAGATACGTTTAATTAAATTATTATATACATTATTGCAATAACTTATTATATGCATTAAATTATTATTGCATATAAAAATTTATTATATTATTCTTTGTATTATACATACACAGCATCGAGGTTTACCAATTTCGCCTCATGTAAAGATTTCCAGTTTCAGATTCCGGTGTAATAATCGCTGTTGCTATAAAATTTCAACAGTTTTTCTTTATTTTTCCGTATATCATACACAATCATATCGCAATTTTATATGATTCTGCTATAACCGAGGATCCTATAACCTGTGTCCCTCTTTTGCTATAACCTGTCTCCCTCTTTTGCAGAATTTGCACTTATTGCATTACTGTCAATGCATGTTTACATTTTTCAACGTCGCAAGCAGTAAAATCATGATTGCGTTTCTTATATGTAATTGTATTAAAAAGGGCTGAAATTTAAAATATTCTTAATTTATCCACAAAATATCCGGATTAAAAAAAAAGGCAGCACTAAATAATCTCGTGAAATACCAAACTCAGAAAATACAACAGCGTGAATCGTGAACTTGAAAGAAGAGTTGAGCGAATCATCTGCTTTCTTACCTCGATGCAGATTACAGAGGAAAAAACTTTTATCATGATGTCAATAATTGGGACTCATTAATTCACTAATTTATGACTCATTATTATTCAGTAATTATGACGTCATTATTCAGTAAGTATTTTTCGTTCGATATTTTGTACTCAATGTTGTGGTTTCTGGAGCCTATAAACTGAATGTTTCTATTTTGAGAGACAACATGGATTTCAGGAGTTGGCGGATTTTCGGTATTTGACTGTACAACCATATGAGTAGATCAGACATATCAATTGTGATGGGAATGCAACTTGGAGTCGATATGATATGATTACGATATTGGCACATTACAAGTTTTGATTTTTCACTTTTGCCACTCGCATATAGCAGTCATGCTATTCCAACTCGGTATTCTATGGCAATTTTTGTCACATCTGTAATTCTGTAATAGAGAGGTTCTAAATCAACAATAATTCTAGAAAATCTGCAACAGTTGGTTGACATCTCTATGAAGACATAGGTAAAACTATATGCAATAAAATATGACAAACAAATATTTTAGGCACAATGGGGAAAGTAAAATTCGTCTTCATTTATTTTACTGAAATATTATTTAACAGCATTTCAGTATACAGTATGATATGTAAACAAATTATGTGTTTATTAAGTATTATATTATGTTACTTGCATTCCCATTAAAATTTCTGCCACAGAGATAGCAATAAAATCTTATTTAAGTATATATAATACATGGCATATTACATTCTATACTTCCTCTAAAAGAAGATAAACATATTAAAAAAACGTAAAAACATTTTGACTACTGACATAAAATGGACTGTGATCAGTGGCAGCAAAATGAGCCATTTCTAGTCTTAAATGTTGGTCTTCAACACAAGCACCCTGAGTTAATTCCTGAAGTTTACCAAACATGGCTTGCTTAAGAGAGAATAAAATATCCACAATATGAATCAGAATGTCATGAGATAGAACTTTTTTCTCTTAACATCTGGTCCACTAGACTAGATGCTCATTAGCCTGTTGGGTTCCGTTGACGGAATAATAATAAGAAAAAGCTTAGCGCAATGTAGTACAGGACATGATTACATAAACTGAGGACTATTAGAAGGACTGAAACAAAGACAGAAAGCACATGGTGGGGACACAACCATTACAGTATATGTTGGGCATACAAATATAATAAGGCCAGGTGTGATTTTACTAAAGTACGAATGTAAAGTTGAATCAATACAAATGCTATTAAGCATTATATATCAAGCAAGAAAAATCTACAATATAAAAAGTTAACAAGGATACATACCATGATTGACAGAGTTAAAGGTGTTACATGGTACTATTCTAGTTACAAAGCATTACAGTGTGGCTGGCGGTATTGATTGATTATTACAAGTCTTGTCACCTTGTAATAGTGAGAGCATGGAAAATACAGGCCTCAATGCAGAACACTGCATGCTTGTTTCTGCAGGTGTTTACTGCATATGCATAACAATTACAGATGTTGGCTTCCACAAATGGTAGTTGGCTGAAGATCAGAAATCAAATGCATAATGGTCCTGGTCACCAATCTCACGACACATGCAAAGATCACTTTCCATGAAACCAAACCAATTAAGATAGCTCATAAATGGACCATGCCTAGTAAAGAATTGTGTAAGCTCTGGGATGCCACACTTAAGAACTGCATCAACTTTTGAAAAGAAATGGAACAGTTTTCTGCTTTCAACTTCATTGCTCCAGTCTAGTGTCAATGTATTATAAAGAGGCTGGTGTGTGGAAAATTTTAGATAAGAAGCTGGCAGTTTTACAAAGGGTGTAACATTTTAAGTTTTTCACTGGCATAGCAAAATTTTTGAAGTGGCAAGTCTTACAGAATGGATTTTTTATACATTCCTCCAAAGTACTGACTGCACTGTACAATTGCCTTTAAAAGCTGTTCTTTAAATATTACACAAAAATACTTGCAACATTTGCATCCGATATGCTAATGTAACAGAACTGTAAGATAAAGACATAATTCAAAACAGTCTCTTAATTTTTATGACACATTTGTTCAATTTTATGAAAATTTTTATGTTAGTAGAGCAAAGTAAGGAAGAAATCATACTAATCATAATCAGTAAATTTTAAATCAGATTTGTAATTCTCTACTTTTGTCTTGATCTCATCATAAAAGCAATGATAGGAAGACATACAAGAATGACCAGAACATTCATTTAATATTCCTTTGAAGTTAAATACTGATTTCCTACTTTAAAAAAAAGGGGACGTATTTTTTAATTTTCTTATTATATGGACTTAAACTTTTTGACGAATCAGTTGGTTAAAAAGAAAAATATTAAAATTAAACTTGTGAAAAATCTAATACACTAAAATGAGCAATTTATCACATACAGATGCTTTTTTCATTAAACAGTAAAAATAACATATTACAATATACTTCCAAAACAATGTTTTAATATCGATATTCTGAATCAACATGCTTTGAACAGAATAGTCTTACACCAAACACATAAATCTTTAATGAAATCATTACATTGAATTAACATCTTTAAAAAAAAAAATTAATCAGAAATGCCTACTTTACATAGCCTTTTAGAAAACAGAATTATTACAGGCATTTTAACTAAGTACTTCCAGATTTTTTTAGAATAAAATCTAATTTAAAAATCTACAATTCAAAAAGCATATATTTTACATATCAAACTATTTCTAATTGCACAGATTTATAAGATAAGCTCTTGTGGCAATTTTTAATGTTGCGTCTCTTTTAATGTACTTTTGCATATAAATGCAAAATTTATCAACTTACTGAATCTATAACTGATCTCTCTCTCTCTCTCTTTCTGTGTGTGTGTGTATATATATATATATACTCGAGTAAAGGACGAAACACCGTATTTATTTCTTAATTATTGTTCATTGAACGTGAGTTGGTTTTGTTCCCCTTGAAAAGCCAACTAATTTCCGATTAATGGCAATGATTACTTGCTTTTAATTCATTTCTTTTTACAATTGAAATTTTGTTATTCATGATTTAATTCAAGTCCTTGTGAAATATTTTTAACAATTTACATTGAAGTTACCTTAAAACAATTTTCGAAATTGAACTTACTAATTATGGATTCACGCTTTTAAGATAATTCTACTAAAATTAATCTTAGATAATATAATCAATATTTCTTTAGTAAACAAATTATATATGATATGTATATATACGTACGTGCATATACATGTTAGTGACCTATAAAATAACTTCTCTGTGTGTATGTGTATACATATGCAGGACTGTTTCGCTTACACATATTATTCACATTCTGATATTTGCAGTATACATAAAAGCATTTATTTAAGATAGACAAAAAATATACCACAATTTTTTAGGAACACAGAAGACTTACCAAATGTGATTGTGCCAGAACCATTTGTGTCAAAAAGTTGAAAAGCTGTAATATATAATGCATCAGGACGACAAAGCACAGCTTCAAAAGCTTCAAATTCCAGAAATGATATGAGCCTTCAGGGTGGGGATAATTAAAATTTTGATTAAAAATACACACATGTACATTATTAAAGTACTAACAGAAACTTTTAGTATAAATACTAAAATAAAATACACTACATATGAACAATATGAAAACAAAAACAAAATCAAGAACATTACTTTAAAAATTAATGACTGCAAGTAATGCGCATAAAATACATCTTAGTTCTACACCAGTTACAAAAATACTACAAAAAATTCAGCTTTTGAAAAGAACAAGGTGCTTGGTGCAAGGAAACTATAATTAAGAATACAAATTACTTAATATAAAGTTTACATTTCTGAAAAGGTTTAGAAAATAATATCCTTCCATTATCATAAATTACTAAGCCAGAAGATAATTTAAAAAACAGGCTAATTATATAGAAGAATTTATAATATTAAATACATACAGAAATTAAAATTAATATAACAAGAAAGTTAACACTTGAATAGCTTTACTTCACAATTTTAAAATCTTAAAAATAAATTAATTTTAAAAACAAAAATATAAATTGAAAATACAAATAAAAAATAAAGAGTTTAATCAAAACCAACAGATAGTTTTCCCACATTAAAGTTGTTGCAAAGTATGAATGAAATTAACCTACACACTTTTGCTTATAAAAATTATCAATACAAAGCAAATACAAAAATAGTGACACACCTGTTTCCAACTTAAGTTCATCTTTAAGCATGACATTATTCTATGGAACTAACTATTCATGAAATGAAGGATATGAAGACCATAACCTTTAAGCATTTAATATAAAATGGAAGAGATAATTCACAGCCGTATTTACTGTTTTCATAGAGTTACCAGTAAATGCTGATAATTTTTAGACTATGATTATTTTTAAACTGCAAAATCTACTAAGATTTAATCACTGAAATTTGGAAAAACACAATTTAAAGAACTTGTACAAGCTATAAATAATACAAGTTTAATTATTTAATTAAACCACTTACTTTTCAAAACTACAATCTCAATGATTTTATATGATAATTCAAGGTAAAAAACACTTTTTATAGTTTATAGGTATAGTTTTTTGCTTTTGATACAAAAAAACATACAATTTCCTATTAGCTTTTGTATCTTTTTTATATCAACACTGTAAAGGAGGAAAATTACTTATAGATTTTTAAAGAAATTACTAAAAATTATACATTACTTCATTTTAATGCAAAAGATTTTTGTGAAATAAATTATACATTTTTTAGAGAATACCTTCAACACTGTTTTTAGTTATTTCTCAGCTGATAATTTTAAACCTTATTACTTTAATAGCGCACCAGCCAAAAAAATACACACTTTCTACATGCCCAATTAATTCCTCAAAATCAAAAGAACATTTAAAAAATTATGCAAAAAAAGTTATTTTAGTTCAGCACAGATTTTAAATTAAACTCTATCACTTTCAAGGGCAATCAGACACAGGTCCCTCTTCTTGAAGATGAGGAATCTGTGTCTGATCAAACTCAAACAAGTCTACAAAATATTACAAGACAAAAGTCTATGACTGATCGCTCTCGAAAACGATAGAATTTTATCGTCTTATTTTAAATTTTGCATTTCTGTGCTTATCTTCCATTCCCATGTACACATTTAATTCACAACTGATTATTCTCAATGCTAAATACAAATCTGATTGTGCAATCCTTTTCTCTTTTCCAATATTTCCTTTTGTTTCTGTGGTCAAAGATCTTTAGAAATACTGTTGTTTTTCACACTTACGCTATAAGTACATATATCTTTTTTATGCCTATGTCTGTTTTTTTTTTTGGGGGGGGGATATATTTAAGCTTTCACTGAATTTCATGCAAAATTAAATTTTGCAATACAGATTAAATTTTCATTCCTTCATTTTTCAATGCATCATAGATCTCACACACATACTGACGCAATGTCACTGTAACATCTCGCAAGTCTTCAGAACTTGAAACTGTATTGACAGGCAATGATGTTTATACACAGGAATACCTATACTACTGCCATATATTTTTCTAGCAGCAGTTTCATTATTTTTCTACAATGCCTTGCAAAAACAATTCATTAGGATGTAAAATCGAAATGCTTTTTTTCAGCAATCAGTGAAAGAAGCAATAATGACAAATGAATTTGACAATTAATTAAGATTTCTTTACCAAATTTAAGATGCAAATGGAATTTGAAAACAAAATCACTAATAAAAAAGTAGTCTGTATTTCCTTCCAAGTTTTCAAACATACCAATAATACTCAACTAATTATTTATTTTAAAAACATCATTAAATTGTTACAAACTACTACAAAGCAATTCTTACTAAATAGAATTAAGTCAATATTCTTCCAAATGACAAGTTTTAGAAATTTAACATCAGAAAAGTAAATTTTATCAACACAAAGTTACTGTATGCCAAAGTTTAGATTTACAGTTCTTTAGTACCCCATACAGAGAAAATTTAACAAGTGTAACCCAACGGCTTTCATGCGCATAGACAAGGCAAGAGAGTTCAGAAAATGGTAAATGGCAACAGTAAGAAAAAGTTTAAAAGAAAACGATTTTTAGAAAAACAGTAACTGACAAAAAAGACAGACATAAAAGGATAAGTGTCAACAATGGAACAGGAATTCTGTGGATGCTTTATCTCTGACTTTTGGCTTTTACATGATTGGTAATTCTTGCTTTTAAAGATGTGAATGCATTTTAGCAGTAAAGGTTTTTTTTTTTTTTTTTTTTTTTTTTTTTTTTTTTTTTTTAATAACACCAACACACATACCTTCAGTGTAATGGTAGTTTTAAAGGAAAAGAATAAAGGAGGAATCTAACATGTGATTAAGAAGCTAACAATGCTTAGATTTGTGGCACTCGGGTTAAATAAGTAGCAACTTAAAAATTTTGCGGTATGTACCCTGTAATCTTACCCTACATTTTCAAGAGATGAAACTGATGAGAAATGTACACACATAAACAGAGTACACATACATATACACAAAACAGTTTAAAAAAAAAATCCATTCCATAATAAACACTGCCATAATAAGCTCATGTTGCAACATTTATCTGATCAAATACAACTTTTTGTATAGAAAAGCCACAGGCAAACCTGACATATAAGCCAGAATGTCCAGCTATTAAAATAAAAGTAATTTCTTAAAATATGTTAAATGAATGTTTGCCAAAATACAGTTTTGATTATTGAACGAATGACAGTTTATTAGTAGTTTTGCTTTCATTTCCATTTACATAACTGTTTCATTACGATTCTTTTTATTGTTTCATAATACCTGATTATGAGAAAACTCTCTTATATAATACATCTAACATACATTGTTAATAATATGTGCGAGTTTCAACCTTCTGCTTGAAATTAATTATGAGTTCTTACATTACTTGACAAAAATAAAATTACTCACGAAGAAAAAATTATATCATTTGCCTAAGAAATTAAGTGGAAATTACCCATCCTTTGAAGTGTCCAATATACTGCCTAAGAGATTCACAGTTTTCAGATTATAATTCGGATCTTTATAAACACCCAAAAACTTTCGCACAAAATCTTCTGGTGTCATAAAACGTTCTCCATTTTTTTCCACACTTGCATACTGAAAAATATAATTGGAAAATATTCAAAAATTAATTTCTTATCAATACTTAATATAAGATCACTACTAAAACAAAGTTAGTTTTCTACAAATTAACATTTCAAGTATACACTTCCAATAATGTATTTTTATACAAAATCACCCTTTTTCTAACAAATCAATTCTGTACTGAAAATATCTTTACATGGTACTTCTTTGTTAAAGCAGCCACTTTGATCAGTCACCAAAATTAAAAGATATGTTACCAAACTTTGCAAATTTACTTTTCAGATTTTTAACCTGCAACTGATTTGATTTTCAGATTGCTTTCATTATCGAGAGAGAGTTTATTTTTACCAGTAAACTGTTATCCATGTATAATTGCCCAACAGTAGGTAAGCAGAAATGTGGTTGAAAACTGATACAGTCAAAAGTCGTTAATCCGGACTCGTCGGGACTTCGGCGATTTTGGATTATCGATTTTTCCGGATTACAGATCATCAGTTTAAATCTTGTAAGATGGCATGCAGAAATTCTAAAATTAAAAATATGAAACCATAATTTATGAAATAAAGAACAATTATGATCTAAAGGGTATCAAAATTTACAAAAAAAAAAAAAAAAAAAAAAAAGCTTGATATTTATTTGTTTACTTTATTAAACATTTCTTTCAATGTAAGTTGTTTAAGTTGCTTCATTTTATGTGATAATACTTTCTCTTTAATTCTATAAACAGACATAATTTCTTGTTCAGTTACAAAGTTAATTCAAGTCTCGTTAATTGTTGTGCCAAGAATACCGACTAACTTGTCAATCAAAATTTTTTCGTTTTCACTAACCTCTCTGTCACATTCATCATGTCTTTATCCATTTTTTGCAACAATTCCACTTTTTGTTTGATGGACATCGAAACGTACTTTCATTTTGTACGATCCTTTGGGAGCTCCAGAATCGGAAATTCTATTTGACATAATCGAAAGTTCAAGTTTACTTTTATAAAATTGCTCTTACAGTCTGCAAAAAATAATAAGCCAGATCCAATTCGAAGATTAAGGAACAACGCAATCATCAACATTAAGTGAAATAGATAATTAGATAATTTTAGATTATACCGTCCGTTATGAATGAAACGCGCACGCGAAAACGTATTCTGCGCTTGCGCACACGCATATGCGCAGTGGAAAATGATGCTAAAGCAAAGTTTAAAGTTTATAAAATTAAGCATTAAAGTTTAGTAAAGTTAGTTTATAAAACATTTAGCAATAGTAGCAATAAAAGCTCCCTGAGATAGTATGTTGTGCAGACATTGAAGAAAATAAAAAGGTTTTGAACTTTACCAATTTATTAACAATATAATAAAAGAATAAAAACACAGAAAATAAATTTAAACAATATCAGAGTCTTAGGAAAAAATAATATAACCATCATTCATCAAATAATACTTTTACCTGGTCTTCAAAAACACTGGCATTCAATACAAACAAAAATGTCCTAAACAGTAATTATGCGGCTTAAAAATGAAGTTGGCTACACATTAAAAAAGTCCATGATCAACAGTCGAGAAAACACCTGAAATTTTAAATGAAGTTCTTGAAAGCACTTCAAAACCGGCCTCGGCCTAACTCCTTTTGCATTAGTTGAACACAAGGAATCGCCGCTCACGTATTTTAAATGCCACCTTCATTGAAGAACATGGATGCCACCACGGCAGTCACTCACATGGTAGCCAAGGAATTTATTCTGAAACAATCATCTTGTGGATATGAACCAAGGAACTCATTCTGGAACAACCATCTACAGGAACCCTTCAGGAACACATGGATATCAACCAAGGAACTTATTCCGAAACAAGTCATCTTGTGAACAGAAACCAAGGAACTTTATTCAGGAACAGTCATCTTGTGAACAGGAACCAAGGAACTTTATTCAGGAAGTCATCTTGTGAACAGGAACCAAGGAACTTTATTCACCGGACTGGCATGCATCCTTCTGAAGGGGCTGGAAACCAGGGATAAATAGAAGGGCTAGCTCATTTCTTTGTTCGACTCCTCGCCGAAGCGAGCCTAATGGGGGGATGTAACAGGCAATAATCTGACGTCACTGTGATGCCACCTGTTCTAATTTCCCGCGTTTAAAACAGTAGTTTCATTGAGCTGCGAGACGATTTTCTAGAGGTTACATATCCCAAAATAATTTTAATAATATATATATATATATATATCTATTTTCTAATAATGTATATATTTAAAATAATTTATATATATGTAATTTTAGTCAGTTTTTATTTTAAATTCTTATATTGTAAAGTATCGTTTACGTAATATGGCTTTTTGCGCTGCAGTAATGTGCCGTAGCACTTAACAGAAGTATGAAAGGATGAGATATTTTATTTCATGGGACCAAAGGATCCAAATGAGAGTTTGCTTTTGACGAAAGAATGGATACACAAATGTCAAAGAGAAGATTCTATTAATGTGAAGAGCGGAAAAATCTGCAGCAAACATTTTCTATGCAGTGTTTATGAAGATGATATGAAAAATCGCTTGTTTGGATAGCCACAAAAAGAAACTGTTGAAATGGAATTCTGTGCCGAAAGTAAATTATGATGACAATAATAAATCAAAATTGATGATGACAATAATAAATCAAAATTGATGATGACAATAATAAATCAAATTTTAATGATTTTGAAATAAAACTCACAAATGAAAATGTAGATCATCCTGAATGTTTAAGTATAAACAAGAATGCATTGATAATTTGAAGAACAAAATAATATCCTTAGAAAATTGTATTAAATTGTATTAAAGTATTGAAAAATAGAGAAAAGAAAAATTTTAGAATGTTTGTTCAGCGACAAAGAAGGTGGACGACATCTAGACAGAAATTGGTATCAGAAATTAAAATCTCAAATAGCGAAATTTGGGGGGGGGAACACAAATCGGAGAATTTGGAAAATGTCTAAAGCCTATTTTTATAAAGACGCAGATTAATGCATTACTGAAAAAGAAGAAAAAAATCAGGTGGACTAGTGAAAATATTTCATGTTGCATTGTCATAAGAGCTCTGTGATCTTAAAGCTATGATTTTGGAAGAAAAAAAATTAAGAAAAAAAATTGGAATATCTTTACCTAGTATTATCAAATTAAAGAAATGGTGTTTATTTTATTTTTTAGTGTTTTCTAAATTTTAGTGTAGTCCAAGAATTCAAAGTAATGTTCTTACTCTAGAGAAGGAAAGAGGCGAATATTTGTATTCTGTAGAAAAAAATGCGTTCTCAATTTCGACGAAATGCATATAGATTGAAAACTCTGCTATGACTCTAAACTGGACTAAGTTGGTTCTTTTCAAAATGTGCAGTTTGTTTTAATCAGAGGTTTCATTTCGCGCTCTGCCTCAAATTACTGAGAATTACTGAGAAATGTAACTGTTTTAAATTTTGATATTATTAAAGAGGTTTTAAATAGAGATTGAGAAGAAATCAAATTGTGTCACAAACTAAAACCAAATTATTTAATGGTCAAGGGAAACGAGAGACAAAAAGTTGCTCCAGAGAAAACATTATTTTCAAAAAGAACCGCAAAAGGTATACTCTACCCCACAGGAAATCAGAAAGCATCTGACTTCTATGAGTTAATCGATAATATCTTAGGTATTATGAATAGTACCAAAATAGTACCAACAAGAATAACAAGTATTTAACAAACTAATTTTGTTAAGTACTTGTTATTCTTATTGTATCCTTTGTAACTAATTATTGATTAGATTTTGTGCTAGATAGCATTCTAGATAACAATATAATAGTATATAAAACATCAAAGTAATTGGTAATTGGCATAAAAAGGCCTGCTTCCTTTACTCACACTTTTGAAAAATTAAATAACTGTTTTAGGTACTCTGAATAAAGCTATTTTGTCAAAATTAAGGTAACAATCTTATATACATTCATTTAATTGTAATATAGATATAAGTATAAATTACAAAATTATTTAAAAAATATCTATTATATTGAATCGGAAGAGAATTATAACAATGTAAAATTTACAATTAGGCAAAAAATGAAACGTAGGTTAGCAGAAATGTTGCCATATATGTCATATATGTTTAAACCTATGTGAATGTAAAGTTGTTTTTTGAGTAAATTTAAATAGCTATTATTATAGTTATCTTAGAAGCAGTATAAAAATTCTCTCAGTTAGCATGCAAATAAAGAAATGATTAGAAATAAACGTGCATTAAATAAAAAAACCTGAAAATAAAAATTTAAAAAAAAACCACGGAACTAATGTTAAAAGAGTAGCACATTTTATCTATTATTTTAAAATTGAGTAAGCATTATTAAATTTTTTAATGGTTCAGTCTAAAATGCATAAAGCAGTAACATTGCCTCTTCCAAATTATAGCTATCTTTCACACACAGCTCATTTTAAACGCTGGTTCAAAAACGCTAATTTCCAAGCTGTGAATTACATTGGCGCGCTCAATGTCATCATGGCTACATCATCACTTCTCACTTTCTGCTTCAGGGGGAAAAGCTCTATGAGCTAGCCCTTCTCTTCTAAGTCCTGGCTGGAAACCGCACACTCAAGTGCCAGGAAAACAGGAACTAGAAGGAGGGTTGAGCCTTAGACTTTATAATTGACCGAGCTATTGCGAAAAGCAATGTTGCCGGTTCCAGAATTAAAGCCCAAGGGCACTTGACATAAAGAAATCCGGACGTGGAGAAAAACTCAGATGAGAAAACAGATATAAGGGGAAGAAGAGAAGTACCAAAAGGAGCAAGACAATCCAATCGGACAAGTTCGCAAAATGTGACGAGCGATTGTAACTTTCAAGGAGGACCCAAGACAATGTAAATCAATGACAACAATATGAGAAGATACACTACAGCAATAGTTCCAATGACAAATTCAAATACAATTAAACAACCTCAATCAGTAGTGCTAAATACAACACAATACAAAACAACTATACAACACAATTTAAATACTACTATTCAACGCAATACACTACAGCAATTC